TGACAATAAATTTCATATATAAATAAAAAAAAAAAAGAAATAAACACTAATATTTACTGTCATTTGATTTTTGACAAGGATGCCAAGATAATTAGGTAAAGAAAGAGTAGTCTTTTAACAAATAGCGCTGGGACAACTGGACATCCACATGCAAAAAAATAAAGTTAGATCCCTAACATACACTACCAACAAAAATTAACCCAAAAAGGAATAAAAATCCTAAGAGCTAAAGCTTGAAAACTCTGAAAAGATTATCTTAAATCTTTGTAACCTCAGATTTGGCAATGAGCTCTTAGATAGGACACCAAAAGCATAAGCAACAAAGGAGAAAATAAACTGGACTTCATCAAAATTAAAAAATTTTGTGCATCAAAGGATATGAACAAGAAAGTAAAAAGACAACCAATAGAATAAATGAAAATATTTGTAAATTACGTATCTCATCAGGGACTTGCATCTAGAAAATATAAAGAACTCTTACAACTCAATAACGAAAAGCTCAACAACCAATTTTTTTTTTAATGGGCAAAGGATCAGGGGCACCTGTATGGCTCAGTCGGTTAAGTGTCCGATTTCAGTTCATGTCATGATTTCATGGTTCATGGGTTCAAGTCCCACATCAGGCTCTGTGCTGTGAGCTCAGAGCCTGGAGCCTGCTTCAGATTCTGTGTCTCCCTCGCTCTCTGCCCCTCCCCCACTCGTGCTCTGTGTGTGTGTCTCTCTCTCAAAAATAAACATTAAAAAAATCTAAAAAAAATAAATGGGCAGAGGATCTGAGTAGACAATCCTCCAAAAAAGTATACAAGTGGCCAATAAGTACATGAAAGATGCTCAACATCAATCATCATCAGAAAAATGCAAATCTAAACCACAGTGAGGTATCACTTCACACCTACTAGCACAGCCATAATAAAAAAAAAGAGTAAGGGTTGGCAAGGATGTGGAAAATTGGAAACCCTCATACAGTGCTGGTAGGAATGTAAACTAATGCAACCACAATGGAATACAGTTTGGCAGTTCCTCACTGAGTTCACCATAGAATTACCATATGACCCAACAATTACATTCCTAGGTATATATACAAAATAACTGAAAATAGGTGTTCAAACAAAAACTTGTATACAAATGCTCATAACCACACTATTCACAATAACCAAAAGGTCAAAACAACCCAATGCCCATCAACTGAAGAATGGATAAGAAAAGTACAGTATATTCATACAATGGAATATTGCTGGTCCATAAAAGGAATGAAGTACTGACACCCGAAACAACATGCATAAACCTTGAAAACACTATGCTAAATGAAAAAAGGTAGACACATAATACCACACGTTGTATAATTCCATTTATACAAAATTTCCAGAATAAACAGATCTATGGAAACGGAAAGTAGATTAGTGATTACCTAGATCTGGGGAGGATGGGGGAACTGAGAGGTGACAGCTAAAGATACAGGGTTTTGGGGTGGTTTTTTTGGATTGATTAAAATGTTCTAAAATTCACTGCAGTGATGGCTGCATAATTTCAAATATACTGAAAGCTTTTGAACTATACACATTAAATGGGTGAACTGTATAGTATGTAAATTATATCTCAATATAGAAGTTAGCAAAAAAAAACCTCACTTAGAATAAAATGTGATTATAGTGAGCTCTCAATAAATGTCAGCTACTAGCTCTAGTGCTATTATTAAGGTCCATTCCACTGAACCCTAAGTGAAGGCAAGAATGTTTATGGTATTTTGTGAGGATTTCTCTGCTAAAGTTAGACTTATAAAAGAAATTCAGGAGAAAATAATGCAGGGAATTAAAGTCAAAATACACACAGAAATCCCAGGAATTTCATTTCAGCAAGAAACTAAGTAGGAATAAATACTAATCTGGTTTGATTTCTTTCTCCTAGGTAATTAGAAAAAGTGACTCATGGACCTAACATGTTAATTTTCTGGAGTTACCCAAGCTTTTTCTCTTACCCTTTGGAACTCATGCTTAGGCCTGCTGTATCTGTTCAGCTAATTTATCCTCTTCTTTCCTGAAAGTAATTCCCACTGGGATGAGGAGAGGTCTCCTCCACTTTCTAACTCACTCCACTTTCTAAGGCCTCACTCCACTTTCTAACTCTTCTTCTAATAAAAGTTTTTCTAGGGGTAAATCCTTTTTCTAACCCAAATAAGAATACTCATACCTACTTGCAAAACCTATGAACAGTTCCCTGTAACATCTGGAATACAAATGTTTGGGCCTAGAGAGAGAGAGCAATTTCTCTCCAGTAACAAGGAACAAGCCTCTCCCAAAAGCTTCTAATGAGATAAGCAGATTGGCAAACTATCAACCAGCGTCTGAGTATCCCCTGAAAAGTTGCCACCATACTCTCAATAATAGACTAGCTCAAACAGGGACTTAATTACTAAAAGAGAGAAAAGATGAGCCCAAGATATTTTGGCAAACTTCCCAATGACAACAGCTCTTTCAATATGCACACGCCATGGAAGGAGAGAAGAGGCCTATAACACTTCAGCAACCACAGCTGGGCCTACCTCAGCACCCAGGGGTTAATGTATAATCACCACTGTGGCACACTAAATATGTCTCAATGGGGGACAAAAGGAGGTCAAATGATGTCACATACTCTCCTTTACCATCTAAAACAATGCCATCAGAGTCACTTCTTACTCACCTTTCCATATTCATCTCATTGTTTTTGGCCAACCCAAGAGCAGGTGTGTTCCCTTTTATCTTCTTGGAAACATCTTTAACAAACTCCTTACTGGCTTCCTTCTTGAGCTGGGCAGGTTGAATTTGAGAAGCCTGTGAAAAAAAATGAGGTGGGGTGGGCAGGGGAAGAAGGAAGCAAGGAAATCTGGAGAACCACAAATTATCTAATAGGTAGCTCTTATAGGAAAATTTTGACTCACATCCCCACCTTGTTTGGATATTCCCAAGAGTAATAATCGAAACATCTCACAACCAGTGTGGTACTGGTGCCAACTAATCACAGCAGAAGCTAGCAGTACAATAGTACTGCTAAATATTAGCTAAATAGCAGCCTTAAATGATTCCAAGATACAAAAAATGTAGTTCTAATCTCCATGTCAGGCATACTGGCTGGCAAATTCCCAGAAAGATGTTTTGTTAATATCACATTCCACTTTGACTCCATAAGATGTTCAGAGGGAGAAAAAGGTAATATAACTGGCTTGGCTGCCTGGGTATACCAAAATCAACTAGTTTTTCAGGTAGACCTCTGCCACAACACTACCTGCAATACATCTATCCCATCTCATTGAGGGGAAATTTATTTAACATGGGGCTTTGGGGAACTCCACCATAAACTCTAATCATGACTAATTCTATTAAACAAAAGAGATCATGAGACTGTGAATATTTTCAGTAAAAATAAATTCAAAAGTTGTGCCTTTAAAATGAAACAAACTGAACATAATTGTATTCCAAATAAATGCCATAACCACATTAAGGGAAAAAGAAAACAGAAGAAAATACAACAACTAATCCAAGTAAACACAGTATTAGACTATATACCCTTAAGATACACATCTTCAGTCAGGATGGGTTTGTGGGGTGGCAAAGAACATTGCAAATAAAGCTGGAAATATTTTTAACAGGTTTATTATGGTGGTATTAATGAAGTAATTTTGAAACCCTTTTAGATGGGTTATAGTATTGAGTAAATGTGTTGATGTCCTTGGTTACAAGAGTTCTCACTGTAGGAGAAAGAAAATACAAATATGGATTAGGGAATGCAAGAAAAATCCCTGTGTATTGGAATAGGAACTGTCCAAATCCATGATTTCTTAAATAGGTGTATGTATATACATCTGAGTATATAGGTATATGTATACATGTGTGTGCATCTGTGTATACAGATATATGTGTATGTATGTTTAAGTACACATATGTGTGCATGCATAGGCATATGCAGATATTTCCTAGTTCTGTCTGCTGAAAGGGCAGAAAAAGTAGGTGCTCCAGTAGCACACTTAGCACTGAGATCTTGGTCTCTAATACCATTCCCCACTAAAAGGAACCAGAGTTCTTTGGAGAAATGGTTGACTGCAGGGCTGAGATAAAACAGATGCAAGAGGAACCTAGAACATCTTGCTATGCTGGAAAGAAGAGGCTCAAAAAATTTCTGAGATGGGGTGCCTGGATGGCTCAGTCAGTTAATCATCTAACTCTTGATTTGAGCTCAGGCCATGATCTCATGGTTTGTGAGTTTGAGCTTTGCATTGGGCTCTGTGCTAGCAGCGTGAAGCCTACTTGGTATTCTCTCTCTCTCTCTCTCTCTCTCTCTCTCTCTCTCTCTCTCTCCCCCCTCTCTCTCTGCCCCTCCCCCACTCATTCTCATTCTCTCTCTCAAAAATAAACATTAAGAAATTTTTTTTAAAATTTATGAGAATATGTCACAAAGACACAGCAGTCAGATTGAGGGGAACTCTACTGGCCAAATCTGGGACAATTTGAGCACCAAAATAATTAAGTACAATAACGAACAATAAACCACTGAAAAAATGGGAATTTATAAGTCCACACTAATAATAAATAAACAGGGAAGGAGGGAAGGCTCACACTTTAATAGAATACCAAGGGCAGACTGGTAAATGTGAAGTGAGTGCTATAGCTGGAAAAATCAGCATAAAGATTTGGTTTAGACAAAAATCATCAATGGATGTTAAATCTAGGGGAAAATTTTTATGTAGAGCAGGTTATTTGCAGGCTCTTAAGAGTGTGTCCCACAGACCACATATTAGTTGCAAGAGGAAAAATTATAAATAGTAATTACACAGTGGGAAGCCAGACAACATCTTGACTGCAGCTCCCCAAAGCCCCATGTTAAATAAATTTCCCCAGACAACATCTTGACTATCACCAGTGAGGGACAGATGGACATCATGTGCCTCCAGATGTGATATCCTAAAGACAGAACATCACCTACACAGTACCCCAGCCAAGTATGTATAATATCAATCTAGTAACATAGAAGCATCAGACAAACACAAAATGAGGAATGTTTTATTTTTAAAAAGGTGTCTAGGTGGGACTGTATTCTTCAAAAAATGGTAATGTTGATGAAAAACAAAGAAAGGCTATGGAAATGTTCCAGATTAAAAACAGCTAGAGACACAACAAGTAAATGATACTACACTGGATCTTTTACTGGAGGGTAAAAATACTTATAACATTGACCTTATAAGGTCAACTGAAAAAATTGGAATATGAATAGATGACATAAAAATATATCAATGTAAATCTATAAAGTTGTTAATAGTACTGTGGTTATACAATACAATTTCTCTGAGGAACTATACACTAAAGTACTTAGGGGTAAAGGACCATGATGTATATAAGCAAATGGGATAAAATGTTAACTATAGGTTAAACCAGGTGAAGGGTATATGTATATTATTTGTACTACTTTGTATTTTTGCAACTTTTTGTAAACTTGAACTTATTTCCAAATGAAATATTAAAAAATATGCCTTTGTATCATCAGATCATAATAAGCAACCACAATTCAATAGGGAATTCTTTCTTAGGTCCCCAAGTCATCCAACTCTGATCCTCAAATAGCTTGGCACTATTTTCATTTTAACTTCTTACCTAAAGTTTTACAAACTCCCTATGTGTGCAACCGAGATTCAGTATTAGAAAAGAAATGTATTCTTGGCAGAAGAGAGGTGGAGACCCCAACACTTAGGGTGAAACTCTCTACCTGCCATATGTGAAAGTTCAAAGCACTAATATTCTCAGATTTCAGCTCAAGGGGACCTTAATCTGCACTTCCTTACAATTGTTTCATTAAAAAAAATACGAAAATTGTGTCCTACTGACACAAAATCATTTAGGTAAATGTGGATACAGACCCTATCTCCTTGTCTACTAGCTTAGGACCAGTTCTTACATATCAAAAGTCCTTCCCATGCTTGAATGATAAAGAGGAAAAGAAAAATACAGCAGATTAATTACAACAGATAGATTCCTTTGGCAGGCCAGGACCTCACTGGTGAATGCTGAGGAAAAGATAGATGTGTGGACATGGAGACTTAGTAATACAGACAGAAAGAAGCAAATAATCATATAGGGAATCCCCAAAATTCTGAGAGAAAGGAGCCCTCACCCCTCAAATAGATGAGCTCAGACATAGGAATGGTTTAGGCACATTGTAATGATGGAACTTTCTCTGGCAAGTACCAAAGACTATTCAAGGTGACCAAATTGAATCTTCAGAACTTATATGCAAAGGGGAATTCTGCTTTCTGAGTTTCTGGAAAGCTAGGGGTAGAGCTACTGCTGAGAGATGCCTTGCTTTTCCCACTCCAACCCTATATAAGGATGTGGCCTAATAGATAGTGCATCAGTTGGAGACCCAGAAGGATCCTGGATGATTTCTTTTCTATTTGTTTATTCGTGTTTGTTCTTTATGAATTGCAGTATAAACTTCATGGAGGGAAAAAAAAACGACTGACACACAGCCAGAAATTTTCTCATATGCTGTAAGACCTTGCTTTGCACCTTGTCATAACTGCTCTCCCATCAGAGACTCTGGGGGTCAAGAGAAGCCACACTAACATGGGCTGCATCCGCTTCCGATTTGTGTAGCTATCTTATTTCAGCTAATTTTCTAGATCCATGGCTAAATAAGTCAGGAAACAAATCTAACCCTATAGGTCTGTGTGGGAAGGGTCTTTTTCAACCAATCAACAGTCAATCTGAAATTATTCAGAAAGTCATAACCTAATTATATATGTTGCAATCTGCATGGGAAAAAGACTATACTAGTACAAAGACTATACTAGTACCTAAAGAGGAGAGATCCAAAAGAGAGAACTTTGCCAATACTTATCCAATCTTGCTCAAGGGAGTAAAATATTGTCTAGTAGATGTATTCTGGTAGTCACAAAAGGACACTCTATTATGGAGGGCAGGGTTCTGTATCCTAGATAAAACAGACTTCAAAAGCAACATTGGGCAAATCCTAATCTGTATACATAATTATGGTATCTACCTCATAGAAATAAATGAGGATTAAGTGAGTTGATACTGGAAAAAGTGCTTAGAATAGTGCCTGGCACATGGTAAGCACTCACTTGTCATCAGTTATTATTTTCTAAGACCAAAGATTACCTTTGGCCCAATTCTACATTCAATTAGTAACATCTTAACTATCAATTCTGGATTTTGCTACTTAATAACACCAGGAGGGAGGTAACTTGGAAGCGAACTCAACAATTCTCATCAAAATTGAGTTTCTCAATCTCCATAGTTGAAGACCAGATAGATCATGGAACTGCGGTCCTCAATGGTTCCGTACATCGGGGCACATTTTTTTGTGGTCACTATGAATGGGCTGCTGCTGGAATTTAATGCCAGGAGCCAAAGATGTTAAGGCTGAGAACAGTTCTACACAACAGAAAAAACTACTGTACGAACTGCCCATAGTATTTGAATTGATAAATACTTCCCCGAACAACAATGACTCCATCAAGATACTTACTTCCAAGGCCTAGGCAGCTAGCTGAGCCACCTCTGGATTTTATCTAAATGCAAGATTCCATAGTTTTTATATTTATCTACAATTTCACATCTGATAATCACTGTCTGCTGCTTCCAGACAGCTCAACCAATTATTCCAGATGGTATGCATCAACAGAATAGCTCCTGCAGTTTCTGAAATTGGGTCATCCATTCCAAATAAAATTGGCTCTCGACACTCTAGAGATGGTCAGGGTCTGGCAAACCAAAAAGGTCCCTTAAGGAAGAGGTTATCTAAGCCTTAGCAAACCACAGCAGAGGACTGAACTAGCATACTCACGTTGGTGAGATCTTCAAAAGCTGATCTCTTTTTGCGTGGTCTCTTAGGTGAAAATGAAGATATCTTTGCTTGGTAATTCTCCCTTCTCTAAAAAAGTAAAAGAGACAAATAAGTATATCCAATCATGAACACTTTTCAGGGACTTTGGATCATCTTTAGAGCTCAGGGGGAAGCTCCAGAATCTCCAAGCAACCAAGGATATATAGAATAAACCCTAGTGAACTACAACAAAATGAAATTTTGGCACTCGCTGATACTTACAGTCCCTGAAGGAGGTAATCACTGATGATAGGGACAAGGCTATGACGATGACCTTTAGTGTAACTCTTAGAATGAGCAAAATAGCTTAGTAAAGCTAGTTTTCCCTCTTAGTTCTCTGATCTTTACGGTTATCCAATCTAAGATTATCAATCACCACCACCACCCAGCTACTCCCAGTCATTCCTTTAATATGGATGCTCTCAAGCAAATTAGTTCAATAGTTTAACAAATAAATGTCTCTTATGTTAAGTATTTAAAACATTCCCAATACGGACAATAACACATTATCTCTAGATCCTGGTCTAGGATCGCCTCTCTACTAGCTATTGACATTGGACAACTCACGTAATCTCTCAGCCTCAGTTTTCTTATCAGTATAACTGGAATGATAAACTTCCTTATTTGAAGATCAAATAAGAAAATACATGTTTTAAAAAGTCTGTATAAACTTAAGTGTACATAAATCATATTTTTAAATAATATAGCCCAATATGATTTTAAGCCTCATAAAGAAAATTCTGAATTTTTTAAGTATACATTTTCATGATTTAATTTTGTTATTTTTTTAAGTAATCTCTATACTCAACATGGGTTTCAAACTCACAACCCTGAGATCAAGAGTCAGATACCCTACCAGCTGAGCAGACCAGGCACTCCAAATTTTGTATTTTGAGAAAGGAGTTTGGTAATCCATATTAACCTCTAATTTGCTAGTGTATATGAATGAGGGTTAGTAGAAGGAAGGAGAGGTGGATATTTTGGAGCAGAGGTGGCTTTCTTTCTAGCTATTGTTTACCATGCCTTACTCAACTCCCATGTGAATAAGGCCATCTCCATGGGGCTAGAGGTTAGGATGAATTATACCGTAGGACTCTTCTGCTCCCTAACAATTTTTATTTGGTAAAAGTCTCCTAAGTCTCAAATTTCCTTTATGAAATGAGAACCCTGCCCTACTTATATCAGAGAGCTGTTATAATGGGAAGCAGAACATTAGGGTCGCGCCATTTATTTGCTCTGTTCCTCATCTAGGCCATGAAAAGTTAGTACATGACACAATAAGTGATCAGAAGTTTAAAGAATTGGATTAAAAACACAATAGACCCATCTAGTACAGCAAAGCAATCCTGAAAGAGAAGAATTACTTCTGCTTTCTAATTGATTAAGCTTGGAAATCAGAAAACTATTAGTCTTTTATCTAGTTCTTGATAAAAAATCCTAGTGGAAATAATTAGCAAAACTAAAATATTTCGTGGTTACACAAATCTCACAAATTAGCTAAGAAATAAATTGTCCCAATTCCCATTTAATATTACCAGTAGAAACAATCAGCCCCAAATAAAATTCACAAGTGAAACTGAACTCAATAAAATGTAGATTTACAAAATGTGCCCCAAGAAAGTTGGATTTGGAAAAATAACCACCACAAAAGAAAACTCATTATGGCAGAGCTCTAATGTCTAATATTGACAAAAATCTGATCAATGTATCAAATCCTTCTTACCAAATTTACATATGAAAAAAAAACATTTAGCCCCTCCATGAAAATCATTTTAGTAAACCAAAAAATGAAAATCATTGGAAAATGTTTATCTGTACTGCAAGAAAACCAATCAAGGAAATTAAATTGGCCTAATGATGTTTGCTCTAGGAAATACTCCCTTAATGACAATTCATCAGTGTTAGTAAAACTCTGATTAAAATATGTATGATGAGGAACAAAGAACATCACAGGGTTGGAATGACACTGTCAAACTATCCACAAGGTCAAAACAGCAAAAGCAAAATGGATGCATTATTCAAATTTAATAGCTGTAAAAAGCACGATAATCCATTTGTTGATCTAATCTTCATATTCTCCCCAGGAGGTACTAAGCAGCCTCCTGGCAAGATGCTTTGAACATCTCCCAGAAACTAAGAGTATAGATGTGATCATTAATGAGAGCTCAGTACTGTTTACTTTTGAAGATTGTGAAGGGTGTCCTTCATTTTAGCTATGCATTTATGGAAAAGTAGAATTCATGCTTAGAACCCAAGTTCTAATCTGCTGGTCTTTTTCAACTACAAGGGCTACCATGCCTTCCCAATTTCTCAGATTAAACAACACATATTCAGAAAGATTAGGGGTGGGGATAGGGACTGAGCCAACACAGGAAGAAGCTACTCAAGACACTGTTGGGAGAGACGGCTTGCTCTAACCTTTCCATATTGGCCATGATCGCTGGGCACAACGTTGCTGGACTGAGATTTCTTCATCTCAGGTTTAGAGCCTCGGGATGGTAGTGGTAGTGGCATCTCTTACAGATTCAGCAGTGTCTATCCAAGATAGGGCTGCAAGCAGAAAGCGACTCTTTAAAACATCATTCACCAGAAACATCACAGCATTCTCTGGAAACCCGTGAGAATACCCAAGCTCTCTCTAGCATCTCTAGGAGAAAACATACTTTGAAGTAGGCAAATCTGGGTTCAAATACTGGTTCTACCATAATTAACCTTGGGCAGTCTAAAAAGCCCAGCACAGTGCCTGCCATCCTGTGTGGGCACTGGAACTATGGCCTACCTCCTAGTTTAGGCCTGGGAATACTGGGAACAAATCACATGAACGTTTTGCATTAAAAACAATCAAGAACATGACAGATCACATAGTATGGAAGCCAGTTGGAAGGGTTAATGTTCTTTAAAAGGCACAGGGTCGGGGCACCTGGGTGGCGCAGTCGGTTGAGCGTCCGACTTCAGCCAGGTCACGATCTCACGGTCCGTGAGTTCGAGCCCCGCGTCAGGCTCTGGGCTGATGGCTCAGAGCCTGGAGCCTGTTTCCGATTCTGTGTCTCCCTCTCTCTCTGCCCCTCCCCCGTTCATGCTCTGTCTCTCTCTGTCCAAAAAATAAATAAATGTTGAAAAAAAAAATTTTTAAAAGGCACAGGGTCCTGGCACAGCAATTATAATGATGCTACAGAGAAGACACAAGAATATACTGCACACACATATACATGATAGGCCAAAGTATTCAAACACTGCATTCCATCAGAAGAAACTGTAATCCAGTTCCAGACACCTGGCAAGAAAAAAATTCAAGATGAGATAATGATAGAAGGAACTAACTTATTGAAAAATCACTTGACATAAAAATTTAACCATCATTACAGCCCTTGGGAGAGTCCTATTTTTGTCCCATCTCAGTGGTGGACCCCATTCTACATTCCTTAAAGTTCTTTGTGAGTCCACAATAGTTAGGATACACTTATGTGACTCACAAGCAAATGCATTGTCAGGAGGAACCAGTTTTTGGATATACAGGAGACCTTTCCCACTCAGATGCAACTGCCCTTCCAACCTCACCCACATTCAATCTCCAAGTTCAACTGCATTTGACAAATAATAGGCTCCTCTAAGAGAGACCCTAAAGGCAATGCAACAAACTTACCTGCCACTCTGTATCTGGTATTTCAGGCAATGGAGATACAAACACAAATCATTCATCTTATCCTATAAGTATTCACATGCACAGCTCTAACAGTAACATAAAAATGTGGCAATGATTTAATAAGAGTAAATACAAAGTACTACAGCAACATAATAGAAAGTCAGTAATCTTGTAGGGGGGATAAAGGGGTGGAAGAAGCCTTCATAGAGGAAGTTATATATGATCTAGACTTAAGTGACAAAGGGGATCCCAAGCAGACTGGGGAGCTTTTGCAGGCAAAGAAAGCCTGAGCGCAGGCAGAGGCTTGCACATGGCAAGCACAGCAGGTGCAGGGACTTCCCAGTTGTCTGGAGCATGGATACAAAGAGTGTATTGGGGAAGAGTCAGAAAGGGGCTGAATGCTAGGCTAGGGCCAGGCTGCTAAGAAAGGGAAGCAGAAGAGACTGCAGCTTGAGAGGAACGTTTAAGAAAGGAGAAAGGCTGATTTGGGTTTTGCTTTGGATGGAGAAGTATTAAACATTTTGTCAGGAAAAATCAGTACAAGTATGTGCCTCCGCATTTATTACTTCAGTTGGTCTCACAACAAAGCAGTAAGGGTACGCAGTACAGATACAATTCGTTCCACTGTAGAGCCCCAGATGTGTTAAGTAACTTACTACCCAGGACAAAACTATTAAGCAGCATAGATCACCCAGCTCTTTCTAGGGCTCTTTTTAAAATACCATGAAGTCTCTCCAATCATACTCAAAAGCACTCTAAAACAGTCCATGGTCCAAAGCAAAAGGCTTTAATGTGGAAGCGTAAGGAGACAGAATGAGCCTAAAGATCTTTTAAAGAAGCCACTGGGTTTTTAAACCAGCCAACTTAGCATCTTTGAGCCTTAATTTTCTCACTTGCAATACAGCAATACCACCATTTATTTGTAGAAGCATCATATGGCTCAAAAGGAAATTTGTATGTGCAAAGCCTAACACATGGTAGGCCCTCAAAGTAAGTGGTGCATCTTATTTTCCTTTTCATCCCCCAAAATCCAAACCTATTTTCTATCTCATCTCTCAAAACTCAGCCAAGCAGGAATAAAGCTAAACTGGGTGCACCCACCCTTAACCACACTGTCTGAAAACCATACAATTTTTTTAATGGCTGACCAAAGATTCATGTTATGAAACTTTTATCTTTCAAGGGGGAAAGAAAAAAATAGCCTGGAGTCAACAGGATAGAAAGCTTTCAGTTGATTACATCACAGAGTAACTAAGCCTGAGAGAATAAGTTTATTCAGATGATAATCACACACCACCTTCATTTTCCTGAACACTAATCACTTTCTTTGGGGGACACACACACTGACTTAAGTATTCTCTGCCATTAGGAGGGGGTAGGGGCTTGGCACCACCAAAAACAGCTTTCATTAAAGGACATTCTGCAGAACATTCTCGACTTCTACCACCTACAGAATGGAGCCTTGCTTGGACAAGAAAATCAGAATCCTTTCCACTTTCCAGACTTTCCATATTCTCTACATACACACTGATAAGTGTTGGAGACCCCCTGAGCATCCCAGGGCTGATGATAAAACCCAAACAGGGGCAAATTGGCTCATTTAGAAGCCCAGGTGCTTAGACTCCAAAACTGTAGATCAAGACAGTCTATAGGAAACAACAGCAACTTCATTTTATATATAAATGCAGGTTATAGACAGCAAGACACTGGGGAGACAATGCAGCATGGTGTGCATGAAAGCAGTACCAGGCTGTGAAGGATGCCTAGGGTAGAACTCTGACCTTGCCCCTAGCTGGCTGGATGACACTAGGCAAGTCTCTTTTCTTTAGGCCTTGTCTCCCCACCTTAAAAAGTGAGGCAATGGGACCAGAACCTCCTAGCTATTCACCATGGTTTGAACAGACCAGCAACATTAGCATCACCTGCGAGCTTATTAGCAATTTAAAATCCCAGGTCCCAAACTAGACCTACCAAATCTGAAAGTGCAAGTTAGCAATATCCCTAGGTGAGTTGTATGCACTTCAAAGTTTAAGAAGCACTGTTCTGGGTCCTTTGACTTCTGACATTCTAGGATCCTAAGTGGACCCAAGCGGAGAGCAGTGGGAAAGCCAGCTGCAGCGGTTGGAGTAGGGGATAGAAGACAGCCAGTGGAGATCAAAGGGAGAACAAGGGAGAGAGCACACATTTCCATCCTCCTTCATATCCTACCACCTGTAGTTCAAAAGACATCCTGCAAGTAGCATTCTCTGACTTAAATAAGGGTCAGTGAAACTAATCCTCCACACTTCCACTTGTGAAAAGACGTTCTGTAAATGTACTCTGATTCAGGCATGTGTACTGGTCACTCTATCTAAAAGCTAGGACCTAGTCTGACTCGTTTTGCCATCTCATCCTCTAAAACACACTCCTGCCCAACTTCGCTCAGACTGCTGACATCAGAACAAAACAAAGGTTTCAAGGCAAGGATGCCGCGCTTGCGGGCGAGAGAAGACAGCGTGTTAACCAGGAACAGGAGTGGTGCTGAGGCATCAACCCGCGTGCGACTGGGCCGGACATTCGAGCGGACAGTACAAGCCCAAAGACGCCTACCTCACATCGAGACTGAGGGCAGAACAGGAAAGATCATGGACGCACTCCTAGACCAGGAGAGGCCCGGGAAATGAACGGAGCTCCGTGTTGTAGCGACCCGTGTCCTTCTCAACCTGGACTGTGCCGGCTCCAATCTGCCCAGTAGCGAATTTTGAAAATTACAGCCCCAGAACGAAGCGCAGTGGTGATTGGCCAGAAGGAGCCAATCAGCGTGCACAGTTGGGACGCGTGCTCCCCCCCAGCCAGGAGAGGCGGGGCTGGGTATTTTTAAATTGAACTCTGCAGCTAACAGACTTCGCATTGGGGCGTGGTTTCAAATACAATTGGTTGAACTAGGCAGGCCTGACCAGCGGAGTACTGGGCTCTTTCAAGAGACGTTTTTTTTAAATAATCCTGCTTCTAGGATGGGAGGGAGTGGCTGCATAGTGCAGATTCAGACCAACTAAAAACTTAATACTAATAACCCTTTGTAGAGTCAAATGTTAACTCCTGCTGGCTTCACAAATGGCCTTGTGAGGGAAGGGCAGTAATTATTGCCCCTATTTTATGAATAAGCACCCAAAGTGCAGAGAGCTAATAGTAGTTAGCATTAATTTACCAATAGCTCTGTGCTAACTGCTACAAATTTTTGTTTTAAATCCTGTCCAAAAAGAGAGGTACCTTTATTATTGCCGTTTTACAGATAACAAAATTGTAACTTGCTAACTGCTCAATGTCACAAACCTACATTGTGGCAAAGCAGGTATTACAACTCAGATATTCTTATTCATTTTACTCATTCATTCATTCATTCATTCATTCAAGTTACTGACAACCTGCTTTGTTCCAGGAGCTAGAAAAACTATAGATGAGTAATTGACAAAAGACTTGAAAAATTGATAGCCCTGCCCTATCCTCTAAGGATGCAAAGAGTAAATGTAGATACCAAAGATAAAATCCAGGACTTCCTGCATATACAGCAGATACCACTAAACTACATCCCTGCCTTTATTATCAGCCCATTCTCCTTTTAGTATCTCACAGCTTCTACATTAAAGGTGGAGTATTCACATGATCCCAGACCTTCTTCTCTTTTTAATCTCCCTAGTTTATTTCATCCAGATCCACGACTTTAAACACCATCTAAAAGCTGACCCTGAACTCCAGATTCATAAATCCAACTGACTACTCCACATCTGTACTTGGATGTCTGATAGATACCTCAAATTCAACATGTTCACAACACTTACCAAACCTGACCCTTCTTCCGATGTCTCCCATTCCAAAAAATGGTACCACGTCA